CTCACCTGTCTCCCATCTCAAATGTCTCCTGTCTCACCTGTCTCCCATCTCAAATGTCTCCTGTCTCACCTGTCTCCCATCTCAAATGTCTCCTGTCTCACCTGTCTCCATCTCAAATGTCTCCCGTCTCACCTGTCTCCCATCTCAAATGTCTCCTGTCTCACCTGTCTCCCATCTCAAATGTCTCCCGTCTCACCTGTCTCCCATCTCAAATGTCTCCCGTCTCACCTGTCTCCCATCTCAAATGTCTCCTGTCTCACCTGTCTCCCATCTCAAATGTCTCCTGTCTCACCTGTCTCCCATCTCAAATGTCTCCCGTCTCACCTGTCTCCCATCTCAAATGTCTCCTGTCTCACCTGTCTCCCATCTCAAATGTCTCCTGTCTCACCTGTCTCCCATCTCAAATGTCTCCCGTCTCACCTGTCTCCCATCTCAAATGTCTCCTGTCTCACCTGTCTCCCATCTCAAATGTCTCCCGTCTCACCTGTCTCCCATCTCAAATGTCTCCGTCTCACCTGTCTCCCATCTCAAATGTCTCCTGTCTCACCTGTCTCCCATCTCAAATGTCTCCCGTCTCACCTGTCTCCCATCTCAAATGTCTCCTGTCTCACCTGTCTCCCATCTCAAATGTCTCCTGTCTCACCTGTCTCCCATCTCAAATGTCTCCCGTCTCACCTGTCTCCCATCTCAATGTCTCCTGTCTCACCTGTCTCCCATCTCAAATGTCTCCCGTCTCACCTGTCTCCCATCTCAAATGTCTCCCGTCTCACCTGTCTCCCATCTCAAATGTCTCCTGTCTCACCTGTCTCCCATCTCAAATGTCTCCTGTCTCACCTGTCTCCCATCTCAAATGTCTCCCGTCTCACCTGTCTCCCATCTCAAATGTCTCCCGTCTCACCTGTCTCCCATCTCAAATGTCTCCCGTCTCACCTGTCTCCCATCTCAAATGTCTCCTGTCTCACCTGTCTCCCATCTCAAATGTCTCCCGTCTCACCTGTCTCCCATCTCAAATGTCTCCCGTCTCACCTGTCTCCCATCTCAAATGTCTCCTGTCTCACCTGTCTCCCATCTCAAATGTCTCCTGTCTCACCTGTCTCCCATCTCAAATGTCTCCCGTCTCACCTGTCTCCCATCTCAAATGTCTCCCGTCTCACCTGTCTCCCATCTCAAATGTCACCTGTCTCCCATCTCAAATGTCTCCTGTCTCACCTGTCTCCCATCTCAAATGTCTCCTGTCTCACCTGTCTCCCATCTCAAATGTCTCCTGTCTCACCTGTCTCCCATCTCAAATGTCTCCTGTCTCACCTGTCTCCCATCTCAAATGTCTCCCGTCTCACCTGTCTCCCATCTCAAATGTCTCCTGTCTCACCTGTCTCCCATCTCAAATGTCTCCCGTCTCACCTGTCTCCCATCTCAAATGTCTCCTGTCTCACCTGTCTCCCATCTCAAATGTCTCCTGTCTCACCTGTCTCCCATCTCAAATGTCTCCTGTCTCACCTGTCTCCCATCTCAAATGTCTCCCGTCTCACCTGTCTCCATCTCAAATGTCTCCTGTCTCACCTGTCTCCCATCTCAAATGTCTCCCGTCTCACCTGTCTCCCATCTCAAATGTCTCCTGTCTCACCTGTCTCCCATCTCAAATGTCTCCTGTCTCACCTGTCTCCCATCTCAAATGTCTCCCGTCTCACCTGTCTCCCATCTCAAATGTCTCCCGTCTCACCTGTCTCCCATCTCAAATGTCTCCTGTCTCACCTGTCTCCCATCTCAAATGTCTCCTGTCTCACCTGTCTCCCATCTCAAATGTCTCCTGTCTCCCATCTCAAATGTCTCCTGTCTCACCTGTCTCCCATCTCAAATGTCTCCCGTCTCACCTGTCTCCCATCTCAAATGTCTCCTGTCTCACCTGTCTCCCATCTCAAATGTCTCCTGTCTCACCTGTCTCCCATCTCAAATGTCTCCTGTCTCACCTGTCTCCCATCTCAAATGTCTCCTGTCTCACATGTCTCCCATCTCAAATGTCTCCCGTCTCACCTGTCTCCCATCTCAAATGTCTCCCGTCTCACCTGTCTCCCATCTCAAATGTCTCCCGTCTCACCTGTCTCCCATCTCAAATGTCTCCCGTCTCACCTGTCTCCCATCTCAAATGTCTCCTGTCTCCCATCTCAAATGTCTCCCGTCTCACCTGTCTCCCATCTCAAATGTCTCCCGTCTCACCTGTCTCCCATCTCAAATGTCTCCTGTCTCACCTGTCTCCCATCTCAAATGTCTCCTGTCTCACCTGTCTCCCATCTCAAATGTCTCCCGTCTCACCTGTCTCCCATCTCAAATGTCTCCTGTCTCACCTGTCTCCCATCTCAAATGTCTCCTGTCTCACCTGTCTCCCATCTCAAATGTCTCCCGTCTCACCTGTCTCCCATCTCAAATGTCTCCTGTCTCACCTGTCTCCCATCTCAAATGTCTCCCGTCTCACCTGTCTCCCATCTCAAATGTCTCCCGTCTCACCTGTCTCCCATCTCAAATGTCTCCTGTCTCACCTGTCTCCCATCTCAAATGTCTCCCGTCTCACCTGTCTCCCATCTCAAATGTCTCCTGTCTCACCTGTCTCCCATCTCAAATGTCTCCTGTCTCACCTGTCTCCCATCTCAAATGTCTCCCGTCTCACCTGTCTCCCATCTCAAATGTCTCCTGTCTCACCTGTCTCCCATCTCAAATGTCTCCCGTCTCACCTGTCTCCCATCTCAAATGTCTCCCGTCTCACCTGTCTCCCATCTCAAATGTCTCCTGTCTCACCTGTCTCCCATCTCAAATGTCTCCTGTCTCACCTGTCTCCCATCTCAAATGTCTCCTGTCTCACCTGTCTCCCATCTCAAATGTCTCCCGTCTCACCTGTCTCCCATCTCAAATGTCTCCTGTCTCACCTGTCTCCCATCTCAAATGTCTCCCGTCTCACCTGTCTCCCATCTCAAATGTCTCCTGTCTCACCTGTCTCCCATCTCAAATGTCTCCTGTCTCACCTGTCTCCCATCTCAAATGTCTCCTGTCTCACCTGTCTCCCATCTCAAATGTCTCCCGTCTCACCTGTCTCCCATCTCAAATGTCTCCTGTCTCACCTGTCTCCCATCTCAAATGTCTCCCGTCTCACCTGTCTCCCATCTCAAATGTCTCCTGTCTCACCTGTCTCCCATCTCAAATGTCTCCTGTCTCACCTGTCTCCCATCTCAAATGTCTCCCGTCTCACCTGTCTCCCATCTCAAATGTCTCCCGTCTCACCTGTCTCCCATCTCAAATGTCTCCTGTCTCACCTGTCTCCCATCTCAAATGTCTCCTGTCTCACCTGTCTCCCATCTCAAATGTCTCCTGTCTCCCATCTCAAATGTCTCCTGTCTCCCATCTCAAATGTCTCCTGTCTCACTTGTCTCCCATCTCAAATGTCTCCTGTCTCACTTGTCTCCCATCTCAAATGTCTCCTGTCTCACTTGTCTCCCATCTCAAATGTCTCCTGTCTCACCTGTCTCCCATCTCAAATGTCTCCTGTCTCACCTGTCTCCCATCTCAAATGTCTCCTGTCTCACCTGTCTTTTTCTCCCAGGAGAAGCGGATCGCCAGCCTGGATGCTGCCAACACCCGCCTGATGGCGGCGCTGACCCAGCTGAAGGAACGCTATGGCGTGACATCACAGAGGAACGGCCTGTCTCCTAGCAACACGTCGTCTCTGCAGATCACGGAGAACGGCGAGTTTCGTAACTCTGGCAACTGCTGAGAAACTAAGCTGTGATTGGCTGACGCTGCAGGGAAGGGGGGGCTTAAAAATGGACTCATTGAAATGAACCAATCGGATGGAACAGAGACGCCATCGAATGTCAGCTTCTACATTACGGAAATGACCTCTGACCTGACCCCATCCTTGTTGCTAGGTTACCCTCACTTCTTTTCGTTTTGCATGTTCCTCTTTGATGAAGTCTGACTTCATTTCCTGTTTACGTTTAGATCTTCCCAACAGAACCAGAACCTCACCTATACCCAGCTTTACTGGTCAAACTGGACCCCCTGGTTCTGGTTGGCCCGGACCTGCCGGTCCTCCTGATTCTACAGATGTACTTAAAGGCACAGCTGACCTTTAACCTGGAGTCAGAGCCTCTTCGTTAGCTTAGCCTAGCTTAGCACAAAGAGCAGCAGCGGGTGGAAAGTGTTAGCTTAGCCTAGCTCCAAACCCTGCAGTGATTGTTTTGGCCTCTTTGGGCTTCCGTAGCTTTGAGTATTTAATTCCCATCGACCCGGTTCAGAATTAGACTAGTTTGTGTTGTTTCAGAGAATTTTAATGTAAACCACAGATTTTATTGTAAACAGTAAAAACTTTAACTTGTGATGATGATGATGATGATTAGTGCAACCTCCCCCCCCCCCGCCCCCCCCCCCGTGTGGCTTCTGTCTGTTCTGTATCTATGAGCCTCTGTTTGTTATTTATCTACAGTATTTATAAGGAGCTACAATAAAACCAGAAACCAGCCTGTCACTGTGCTGTTCCACACACACACACACACACACACACTGACACACACACACACTGACACACACACACACACACACACACTGACACACACACACACACACACTGACACACACACACACACTGACACACACACACACTGACACACACACACACACACACACTGACACACACACACTGACACACACACACACTGACACACACACACACACACTGACACACACACACACACACTGACACACACACACACACACTGACACACACACACACACACACACTGACACACACACACTGACACACACACACACTGACACACACACACTGACACACACACACTGACACACACACACACACACACTGACACACACACACACACTGACACACACACACACACTGACACACACACACACACTGACACACACACACACACACACTGACACACACACACACACACACACACACTGACACACACACACACACACACACACGGTGATAACTGGGTCATTCTGGGCTTTATTCACTCTGCTGCACTGTAAACAGGAAGTGATGTCACAGGGTCTGCAGGAAGCGCTCCAGTGGGTCCTGGCTCCAGTAGTCGTGGTTCCAGCCCAGGAACCAACCAGTGAAGGTCGGTGGTTCGAATCCCTGCTTCAGGGTGACGATGGGGGTCCGCGGGTCTCTGCCAGCCGGGTCGGTTCTGACGTAGCGGTCAGCTGGACACGGAGAGACCCGTTAGGCGCCAGACCGGCCACAAAGGTTCTCACTGAACCGGGTCCCAGACCAGAACCGGTACCGGAACCGTCTCACCTGTGGTGGCGGCCTCCGCCTTCTCCTCCTCGTGGGCCTCGTTCCCGATCCAAACGAACACCTGCCAGGGGAAACGGTGAGCCGGAACCGGAATCTGGTTTCCATCGTGATGGTGGTGAGGAAGACTCACCTGGTCCCAGGTGTCCAGGATCATGACGTCATCAGGAGCCAGGTCGCCCTGGGTCAATTCTCCCGGAACCTCCTCCATCTGGACACAAGGAACTGGGTCAACCAGAACCCACCGCGGCTAACCCGCTGGTAAACATGGCAACCAGCAGCCGCGTCGGCCGAACACACCCGGTGACGACCGAGTACCTGGAAGGTGCCGGTCTTGTTGGAGCAGGCGAAGAGGCGTGGCGGGTGGGCGTCCATCTTGTTGCAGAGCCGAGGGGCGTGGCAGTAGTCGTCCTTCCCGCCCAGAACCGCCCAGAATCCGTCTGGAACCACAGCCAACCGTCAGCGCCGGCTCTGGGCCGCCAGACACTCTACATACCTGCCGCTCACCTGGCTCCTCCCCCTCCTCCAGCGGGGCGGGGTTCACCTGCAGCACCTGGGCCAGGTGTTCGGCCCCCTTCGCCTCCGCCGCACTGCTGCCCCGCCCCTTCCACAGCCACGCCCCGCCGCCCGCCACCAGCAGGAACGCATCGTTGGAATTGAGGCAGGACGAGGACAGGCCCACCTGCAGCACAGCAGAGTGGTTCGGTTCAGACTGGTCCGGTTCACATGGCAGGCTGGTTCTGGGCAGCTTGACTGGATCCCGTGAAACCCTCACAGAATCTGACAGAAACATAAAGTGGACTGGAACTGTAAAACTCTGGATCTGGACCTTCATGTCTCAGGAGGACAACACACCTGGACTGGACCAGAAGGTTCTGCAGTGGACTGGACGGGTTAGAACAGGGAATTGGACGAATCTGGGTCAAGCCACTGGTTTTAGCAGAACTGGACCCAGTGGTTGAACCGTGAGACCCGACTCACCTGGACTCCATCATCTGCTGGAGACACCTGAGGTTCTGGTTCTGCTGAATGAAGCAGCAAGAATCTAAGAAGTTCTGGTTTTGACCTGTCCGGGTTCTGCTGGTCTCACCTCCACGGCCCGGGTGTCTCCGGCCGCGTTGGACCGCACCTGGAACAGGCGGGTGTTGGCGGCGGCCGACTGCCCGCCCTCCCTGGAGGTGCCGCCGCGGTACACCACCATTGGCTGGCCTCCAAACAGGCTCATCAGGTGGGCGGGCTCTTTGCCTTGGACCACCCTCACCTGGACGGACAAGTCACAATGAGGTGCTGGGAATGCTGGTTTCCAGTTGGTTCTGAACACCAACTGGAAACGCTGGTTTCCAGCTGGTGTACCTGAACTGCTCCGCCTCCCAGTTCGTCGTCCAGCTGGACGGCCAGAATGGCCGACGCCGTGGTTTCGTCCTGACTCGACTCCGCCCCCTGCCTGCGGAGGAAGCAGTGGAGAACAGGTGATGCCCTGCAGTCTGGAGGCTCGCCAGCAGAGGGAGCGGCGTCTCACCAGACGTAGACAATGTGGCCCTGCCTGCCGCCATGTTGGTACTGATACTGGATCAGGTAGCTGTCGCCACCGTAGAACTGACCAAAGAAAGCCGGGTCCACCAGAACCTTATCGGACCCTTCGACCCTCCAGATCTGCAGACAGACAAACGGTTGGCTGCTCCCACGTCCGAAACAGGAAGTCTCCAAGCTGACACAGGAAGTTTTCTGTGTGTTCGATCACATTACGAGGAAGTCGGTTCTGACTCGAGTCCAGTTCTTTTTAACTATAGGTGGTTCTGAATGAAACGGATCCTGATTGGTCAGCTGGTGGACCTCGGTTGAGTCATATTTCTCCTGTCCATCGATCCAGTGGACCAGAATCAGAACAACCAAAGGAAGCAGAGGCAGTCCTCACCTTTTTGTCTCCGTCTCCTCGGTCTACCATCCCGTACTGTGCCGACATGGAGTCCGATTGGTGCAGCTTGGACACGTCGAACGGCACCTGTCCAATCAGAAGAGTGGGGTTTCAGACCTGTTCAGGCCCATTCGGATCAGGTCCAGAACCACATGAGCTTACCTTCTCAATCTTTGCCACCTTGTTGGTGATGTAGGCCGTTCCCATGCCAACAGTGTCTTCAGCGTCCCTCCAGTTCCTAAAGAACTGCTTGAAGAGAGGAGTCTCCCCGGACTGAGGAAGGACCTGGACCTAAAGGGACAGGTCAGTTCCAGGTCAGGTCCAGCTCTGGGACAGGGACCAGGTAACATCGTGGTGTTGACCTGGGTGTAGGGCGGATACTCCATCTGCTGGATGAATTTCTCTGAGTTCTGCAGGACGGCCTGCCGCTCGGCGCCATTGGCATCTTTACCTGGACAGAGACATATAACCTGTCAGCGGGACAGCTTGTGGCCTCAGGTGAGTCCCACCCAGTCTGTTCATGACCTCTGACCTTTCCAGACAAAGATGCGTCCGTTGGTTCCGTTGTCAAGGATAAAGCACTCGTTGGACTCCAGGGCATGTTGGGGGAACGGATTCTGCTCCGACACCAGGGTGACCTCCATGTCCCCGCCGGCGTTGGACACCTGAGGGACGGCGAACACAGGTAGACAAACCAATGGCAAAACGAAGTGACATCACGAGCCGAGTGAGCTGGCAGGGAACCGCCGCAGGTAATCACCTTGTAGAGCTTCGCCGCTTTCCTGTTGGACGCGTCGGTCTGTGTGTCTTCGCTGTGGGACTCGGGGAGGTCCGGTTTGTCTCCCAGAACCTGGACAGAGAGACGACAGGAGCGGCAGGTGAAAGTCTGGCAAAATGAGTGGCAGGCGGAGAAGTGATCCCGGCCAGAAATTCCCCCGTACTCCACACCAAATACGTGTTTGCAGACGACACCATGCTGTTGTTTTAAAACGCTGGTCCACATGGGGACGCCTCAGGGCCGCCAGCTACATCAGAAACCACATTCTGGTTCTTTACAACTGTCATGAATCACCAGTGTTTTGGTGACCTTTGACCCCTGCTGCTCTGGAATTAGAAATGCGGTGAGTTCTGGTCATGTGATCACCTCTATCATCCTGTCTGGCTCCGCCCCCTCATGGACAACCTGGAGGTTGGCCCGCCCACACCTCTCGTTGTCACGGATACTCTTAGACATCTGTCAAGTAATCAGTTTATCAGCAGGTATTTCATGATGTCACAATGATGTCACTTTGTGATGTCACCACTCACCAAAGTGGCCTTCAGTTTCTCAAATCTGTTGCTATGGGAACCAGACCACTGGATGATTTCCTGTTGGGTCAAAAGAAGGTTTAACCGCCCCCCAGGTGTCCTCACCTGCCCCCCAGGTGTGCTCACCTGCCCCCCAGGTGTGCTCACCTGCCCCCCCAGGTGTGCTCACCTGCCCCCCCAGGTGTGCTCACCTGCCCCCCCCAGGTGTCCTCACCTGCCCCCCAGGTGTCCTCACCTGTCCCAGGTCCAGGATGAAGCTGTCTCCCTGGTTGAAACTGTCCCAGCTGACAGGAACCTCTGTTGCCCTGACGATTTGGCGACCTTTGACCTGCAGTAACCGCTGAACTTCCACCTCATTGGTCACCACATGATTGAACCCTGAGGCCACGCCTCCTTTCTGTTGGACCAACAGGAAGTGATGTCATCAGGGTGCAGTGAGGGGCTATCAGACAGGAAGTGGGTGTGGTGCAGTTACCATGTAGGTCAGGCCCGTTTTGAAGTACCCGCTGAAGGTTCCGGACTCATGGCCTTGGACCTCTCGGTACTGGACAGGCGCCCCCTGCAGGAAGTCGTCCATCTGTACAGCAAGAATGGCAGCGGCGCCGCTTTCATCCTGAGAGCACTCAGAACCTGCGGCCCGACGGCCAATCAGAGAGCAGAAAGAGGGTCACCTGCAGCGACCTGACCGGGTCTGCAGAACCAGAACCCCTCGGGCTGTCGTCATGGTAACAGACGATGAACGTAAGCACCGAGGCTCAACGCCGGGCGGCCAGAGCCTCGGTTCTGGTCCAAACTGGACCCACCTTGCCAGTAGTGCAGGTCGTACTGCAGGTCTCCTCGGCGGTTGCTGGTGCTGCTCAGAACCAGGTAGGCGTCTCCGGTGTAGAACCGTCCATAGAGACTCTCAGGGACAGGAGCCATGTCCATGTTCTCCACTCGCCACACCTGAAGCCCCGCCTCTTTACCTGCTCGTTCAAACTCAGGATGGAACACCATGATGTCACCTGCAGCAGGTGGGGCAGAAAGCATCACCTGTTAGGCTTGGACAACACTGTTCTCTTGACCCCTGACCCCTGACCTGCGGCTCTGACACTCAGAGGAAGCTGAACTAACCCCACCCGCCGCCTCGCCGGCTTTAGGATGGAGCGCACCGCCCGCTTACTTTGATCCTCAACAAACATGCATGAGACCATGTGACCGTCACCATGGCAACTGCTGCCTGGGGTGGTTTGTGTTGCAGCCGATTCGGAACAGAACCAGAACCGTCATGGTAATAGATCACAGATCGGTCCACATTCATCACCAGAACTAATGTCTCAGAACCGGGTCCAGCGGAACCGGGTCCAGCGGAACCGGGTCCAGCGGAACCGGTTCTGGTGGAACCTGCAGTCTGGATCATTCAGAAAGAGGAAGGAGGTCAAACCTGATTAGCTCAGAGCAGACAGGTAACAACAGGAAGTTCTCTGTTCTCTGCTGTGGGTCCAATTTCAACTGGACCTGCTGGTTCCGAATGAGCTCCAGACTGGTCCAATTCGGCCCAGTTCCTTCAGCTCACACAGAAGAACCAGGAAACCTCTGGGCTCAGCAGCAAAACCATAGAGAGGAGACACACCTGGGCAGGTAAACACTCCACACCCAAACACATCATTCTAGTCTGACTACAAGTTCTGCTTGGTTCTGACCCAATAACTTTTCCTCTTCCAGACGAGGAACCTCTAAAAACAGACCAATGAAGAGGAGCTGGTCTGCCTGGTTTCTCCAGGTGTTTCTCCAGGTGTTTTGTCCTGCCGCTGCGTGTTGCCGTCCTCCACTCTGGGATTTAAGCGTCTCTCTCTCCCCTCACAGAGCTGCTGAGTCTAGTGAAACAGGAGACACCTGGAGAACAACACCTGGAAAACACCTGGAGATCACCTGGAGAACAACACCTGGAGATCACCTGGAGAACAACACCTGGAGATCACCTGGAGAACAGCACCTGGTTTAAACCCAAACAGGTAGAAACTCACCTTCGTGTCTGTCGGGAAGTCTTCCTCAGCTGGACTGGAGCTGCTTTGACACACAGGTGCTGAGGTAACAGGTAAGGTTACCACAGCACAGGTAACCTTACCTGTGCTGTGGCCCCTCCCCCAGCAGCAGCAGACACACCCGGCCTGCAGCTACCGCTTCTGCCTGCAGGTTCGTTTCATGCAGAACCGGTCCGAACCCGATCCATGGTTCTCTTCCTGCAGATCCTCTGGGTTCTGATAACAGAACCGGGTCCAGAACTGGGTCAGAGAAAGCAGAACCAGCAGTGAACGTGCATCAGTATCACTTATTAAGAGTAAAGAAATGGAAAAATGACAACAACAAAAAGAATAGTGGAATGAATATAAGAAAGGAAGATTATATAAAGAACAAAAGTCAATTTGAATTAGAAATATTAATGAGAAACAGAAGGGAAGAAATAATAATAATGAGATTAAGAGTAGGTCATAACTATTTAAATGACATTTTAATAGGAGGAAAAATAATGATAAATATGCAGGATGTGGCAAGAAAGAAAATGTCAAAGATATATAGAATTGTAAACACATATAAACCTGAAAGGATAAGACAGGAATGGAGTCTTAAAGGAATATTGGGAAATGAAGGAAACATGATACATATTTACAGATTAAGGAAAGCGTTATTTATTTATCTTCAGAATATTCAATTAAAAACAGAATTTGATGGATGTAAAGTAATGTTGCTACACTCGTGTACAGTAGGTGGCGGTATGGACCTTAAAGATGCTGGCGATCCGCCATAAAACACAGAAGAAGAAGAACACCTGACGTTGTACTTTGAAAGGTCAGACCGGAAGTTTGGAGGTGGCCGTGGCTGCGGGCCACGGTTCGGGTCTTGGTGAGGCAGTAAACCAGACCGGACCGAACCGGACCTGGTTCTGCGAGGATGGAGATGTTCAGCAAGCTGAGCGGCATGCTGCTGAACGCGCTGGAGACGGTGAGACAGCGGAAGCTGGCATTACGTGCTTCCTGTGGTCAGTAAAAAGTTAAATACTCGAACAGAGACGGAAGACAGGACAGGAGGACAGGGACACAACCTGTCCCTGTCTCTGTCTGCCTCCCCCGGTCTTTGTACAAGATCTTAGCTGCGGTTTTTTTCTGGGAATGTAAGGAATGTAGCTGGAAGGTAACTGCTGCTAATGCTAACTGTTTACCTGGAACTGAGCATGCGCAGTGGTTCAAGTTTATTAGTCCATCTGAAATGAGTTTATCCGTTGATTTCTAAGGGAACTAATGAACAGACGCCATCCCGGGTTTATATCTATAAGCCGGGGTGAGTTTTGTTTTAGAGATTAAGTTTACAAAAATATCATAAATATGTTGCTGCCCCCTAGAGGGGAGACGATCAATCGCTCCATCTGGAGTTGCATTAAAATCTCCTCCATAGATAAATCAGCGGAATATTTTATTTTCCATTGTTTTAACGTCACTCCGAGGTCAGCTAATGCTTTAAGAATAGCATTAGCTGTGTCCTCCTAAACACTAACTGTAGCTCACTCCGCCGTCTTTGGACGTCCACGGATAATAATAAGATATCTGAGGCTAAAAAGTGTCTAGATTAAAACATGTTCATCTGGAGAAAACTTGAAATGAATCATGAAAAATCAGAATGTCATTTACTTTGAGCTGTCGACACAGTCCAGTCTTGTGTTTCTCCTGTCTTGAAATACATTTCAGGTCTCTGTAATTAGATTTATGACCAGTCAGAACAGAATTTAAATTGATGCTAATTATTATTAAATCAGTTGATATTTCTTATAACTTCATGAATCTCAATGTTTTCCAGAGGGAGCCGACCGCCGACCTGCTGGACTCCTTCATCGATCACTGGAGATCCATTACTAACTACTATATCCAGACCACAGGTGAGCAGCCTCACCTGCAGCCTCTCCTGTAGCCTCACCTGTAGCCTCTCCTGTAGCCTCACCTGTAGCCTCACCTGTAGCCTCACCTGTAGCCTCACCTGTAGCCTCTCCTGTAGCCTCACCTGCAGCCTCTCCTGTAGCCTCACCTGTAGCCTCACCTGCAGCCTCACCTGTAGCCTCACCTGCAGCCTCACCTGTAGCCTCACCTGTAGCCTCTCCTTCAGCCTCACCTGTAGCCTCTCCTGCAGCCTCACCTGTAGCCTCACCTGTAGCCTCACCTGCAGCCTCTCCTGTAGCCTCACCTGCAGCCTCACCTGTAGCCTCACCTGTAGCCTCACCTGCAGCCTCACCTGCAGCCTCACCTGCAGCCTCACCTGCAGCCTCACCTGTAGCCTCACCTGTAGCCTCTCCTTCAGCCTCACCTGCAGCCTCACCTGTAGCCTCACCTGCAGCCTCACCTGCAGCCTCACCTGCAGCCTCACCTGTAGCCTCACCTGCAGCCTCACCTGTAGCCTCACCTGCAGCCTCACCTGTAGCCTCTGTAGCCTCTCCTTCAGCCTCACCTGTAGCCTCTCCTGTAGCCTCACCTGCAGCCTCACCTGTAGCCTCACCTGCAGCCTCACCTGCAGCCTCACCTGCAGCCTCACCTGCAGCCTCACCTGTAGCCTCACCTGCAGCCTCACCTGCAGCCTCACCTGCAGCCTCACCTGCAGCCTCACCTGTAGCCTCACCTGTAGCCTCACCTGCAGCCTCACCTGTAGCCTCACCTGTAGCCTCACCTGTAGCCTCACCTGCAGCCTCACCTGCAGCCTCACCTGCAGCCTCACCTGTAGCCTCACCTGCAGCCTCACCTGTAGCCTCACCTGCAGCCTCACCTGTAGCCTCACCTGTAGCCTCTCCTGCAGCCTCACCTGTAGCCTCTCCTGTAGCCTCACCTGTAGCCTCACCTGCAGCCTCACCTGCAGCCTCACCTGTAGCCTCACCTGTAGCCTCTCCTGTAGCCTCACCTGCAGCCTCACCTGCAGCCTCACCTGTAGCCTCACCTGTAGCCTCTCCTGTAGCCTCTCCTGCAGCCTCACCTGTAGCCTCACCTGTAGCCTCTCCTGTAGCCTCTCCTGTAGCCTCACCTGTAGCCTCACCTGCAGCCTCACCTGTAGCCTCACCTGTAGCCTCACCTGCAGCCTCACCTGTAGCCTCACCTGTAGCCTCACCTGCAGCCTCACCTGCAGCCTCACCTGCAGCCTCACCTGCAGCCTCACCTGTAGCCTCACCTGCAGCCTCACCTGTAGCCTCACCTGCAGCCTCACCTGCAGCCTCACCTGCAGCCTCACCTGCAGCCTCACCTGTAGCCTCACCTGTAGCCTCACCTGCAGCCTCACCTGCAGCCTCACCTGCAGCCTCACCTGTAGCCTCTCCTGTAGCCTCACCTGTAGCCTCTCCTGTAGCCTCACCTGTAGCCTCACCTGCAGCCTCACCTGCAGCCTCACCTGTAGCCTCACCTCCTGACTCTGTGTGTGCAGATGACAGCCGTCCCGCCTCTCAGACCGACATCCCGTGGCGTCTCAGGCAGATGACCGACATCCTGGTGTATGAGGAGAAGCAGCAGGTGACTAGCTCCACCCACACACCGGTAACCATGGCAATGAAGCTGTCTGACCTCAGTGGGCGTCGCCTTGATTTCCTTCAGTCCTGCGGCAGTCCCATCCTGGTCCGGTCCTGGTCCCAGCTCGAGCACGGTTCTGGTCCGGTCTCACTGCCTGTCTGCTTCTCCAGGAGGAACCGGGTCGCTGCCTGGAGTTCCTGCTGCAGAACCGGCTGCTGGAGACGCTCTGCACCTTGGGGAAGGCTCAGGTAGGCTCACCTGGTCCTTCCGCGTCCAGCCAGAACTAGAACCTGCGGCCGGATCTCACGCTCTTCCTCTTCCTCAGTACCCTCCAGGGATGAGCCAGCAGGTGCTGCTCTTTTTCTCCAGGCTGTTGTCTCAGATGCAGAAGTCTCTGCTGCAGCTGGTGCCCGTCCGCACACCTGTACAGGTGAGCAGGTGATCTACCTGTGAACGCCCTCGTTCTGGGGCTGGAGCCGGTGGGCGGGGCCAGCTACCTTGGGGAGCTGGCCCCACATGACTTTCTGTTTGTGTTCTGCCCACAGAAGCTGATTGGCCTCTGTGCTCTTCCTGGTTCCTGCACTGAGAAGGAAGAAGCTCAGTTTTTATTGGCTATTTGCTCCAGAGTGTCACGGGATCCACAGATGCTCAGATATATCCTGCAGGTGAGTAGCTCATTACATCACTTCCTGTCAATGGGTTATTACATCACATCTTGATGTTGCTGTTTCCAGGCCCCAGATGCAGCCAGCAGCCAATCAGAAGCCTCTGCCTCCAGTGCCGTCCAATCAGAGCGTGGGCTGCTGTGGGTTCTGCTGCAGCTCAGCAGCAGCAAGGTGGGTTAGCGGTTCTGTTGGACCTACCGGTGAAACTGCTCAGGTCCACTGCATGTTCTCCCTGTGCATGGTGGGTTCTCTGGGTTCTCTGGGTTCTCTGGGTTGACCTGTACAGGTGACCCCGCCTCTAGCACCAGGACCCTCCAGACTCCGATGGGATGAAAGAAAACAAATGGATAATGATAATATTAATCATGGACCTGCTGTCTTTGATCACCATGGTTACCAATCAGGGACATGCAGACGCAGTCCTAATGTCCTCTGTCTGTGTCCTCCAGAATTCTGTGGTGCGTCTCAAAGCCTGTGAGGGATTGCTGCAGCTGGCGTCCCTCCTGGGTGTTGCTCCTCCAGGTCCTCCAGGGGAGCTGCAAGCCGCTGCAACCCAGCTTGGGCAGCTGCTGGCTGGGCGGCTGCAGGAGCTCTACTCCCTTCTGCCTCTGGAGGAGATACAGGTTGCTGAGCTCAGGAGCTGGCCCCGCCCCTCGTGGAGGTAGACACCGCTTGGTTGGCTCTCTGGTTGCCATGGAACATTGCCTCCATTCTGACCCTTGTGTGTCGTCAGATCAGAGTCAGCAGATCACATGACCCGTTTCCTCACCTGGTTCGACTTCCTGGATGAGCTAACGGCCAACGCTCCTCAGGTATGTTACAAGATAGTCGGGTACGAAAGTAGTACTCGAGTACTACTAATATAGTAGCACTCGAGTACTAGAAATATTGGAGTACGACTATACTAGTACTATACTAGTACTACTAGTATAGTAGTACTACTATACTAGTAGTACTACTATACTAGTAGTACTACTAGTATAGTAGTACTACTATACTAGTAGTACTACTATACTAGTAGTACTACTAGTAGTACTACTAGTATAGTAGTACTAGTACTATACTAGTACTACTATACTAGTAGTACTAGTATACTAGTACTACTAGTATACTAGTACTACTAGTATACTAGTACTACTAGTATACTAGTAGTACTACTAGTATAGTAGTACTACTATACTAGTAGTACTAGTATAGTACTAGTATAGTAGTACTAGTAGTACTACTAGTATCCTAGTACTAGTAGTACTAGTAGTACTAGTACTACTAGTAGTACTACTAGTAGTACTAGTACTACTAGTACTAGTAGTTCTACTAGTACTACTACTAGTAGTACTAGTACTAGTAGTACTAGTAGTACTATACTAGTAGTACTACTAGTAGTACTACTATACTAGTAGTACTACTAGTAGTACTACTATACTAGTACTACTAGTATAGTAGTACTACTATACTAGTAGTACTAGTAGAGCAGTAGTACTAGAGTACGACTATACTAGTTCAAGAGTAGTACCACTCACGTCGCTGATTGGATGTCCAGGCGCTGTCCCAGCAGGTGTCCCACTGCGTCCTCCAGCGGTGGCTCATGGAGACTCTTCGTCCTCAGCTGCTGAATGCGTACGCTCTTCTCCTCTTTCTACTTGTTTTCACCTGAGGGGGCGGAGCCTAATGTCCAGGTGTGTGTTGTGCAGGTGTGAGCTAAGTGTCCTGGCGTCCACCTCCATCCTCTGCTGCGCCATCAGACAGGTCCGGTCTCCCTCTCTGCTGGACCAGCTTCTGGACTTTCTGCTGAAGACGCCTTCCATGCTGCAGCTGCTTCTGCGGCGCTGCGACCACGCCTCCGACCAGGTGAGGCTGCAGAACACGCCCACAAAGCCCCTCACCTGGCCACGGCGGCCCACCCAGTGTCTGTGTCCTCAGATCAGCGTGGCGTCTCTGTCTCTGGTGGACGAACTTCTACAGAAGCCTCGCAGGGACGTCCTGGACACGCTGGTGCTCGGCTTCCTGCAGAGCCGCCGTTACCTGTCCTCACCTGCGGGGGGCGCCGAGGACCGGCAGCCCGTTAGCGATGGCAGCGATGACGGCCGGTATGTCCGGCGGCAGGATGCGCCACGGGCGAAGGGCCGTCCTCCCTCTGACGACTGTCTCCTGTCCTGACTGTCTCTCGTCCCTCAGAGACCCGGAAGACGACCCGTTCTTCTCTGACGGTTTCCCTGACGACCACCTTCCTCCTCGTCTTCATCAGCCTGCTGCTGGCTCCGCTGCTGACATCATCAACAGGTAACAGACCGATCGGCTTGAGACCGCCCGGGCCCGGACTGAACTCTCTCTTATGTTCCCAGTTTCCTGGGCCTGGTTCCGGTCCAGGTGCGGTCGGCCCACCTGCTGCAGGACGGAGGCTACGAGGCGTACGTCCTGGACGCGCGCTCCTTGGTAAGAGACTCCTCCAGGTGGGGTTGTCACGGTTACCTGTTTACCTGGGATCTGTAGAGCAGGGGTCACCGACCTTTTTGAGACTGGGAGCAACTTCACGGGTACAGAGCAACACGAAGGGCGCTTGTTTGATGCAGTCTTTATATATATATATATATATAATATGTAAAATTCCCTTCTCACCCACCGCGGGTGGTTCTTATCCTCTGAGCTCGGGTCCTCTACCAGAGGATATATAGATCTATATATATAGATCTATATATCCTCTACCAGAGGCCTGGGAGCTTGAGGGTCCTGCAGTATCTTGGCTGTGCCAAGGACTGCTGCACATTTCTGGACTGAGATGTCTGATGTTGTTCCTGGGATCTGTTGTAGCCACTGCTCCAGTTTGGGGGTTACTGCCCCGAGGGCCCCGATGACCACAGGCACCACTGTGGTCTTCACCTTCCAGGCCCTCTCCAGTTCTTCCCTGAGGCCCTGGTATTTCTCCAGTTTCTCGTGCTCCTTTTTCCTGATGTTGCAATCACTTGGTATTGCTACATCTACCACAACGGCTTTCCTCTGTTGTTTATCCACTACGACAATGTCTGGTTGGTTCGCCATTACCATTTTGTCTGTCTGGATCTGGAAGTCCCACAGGATCTTAGCTCTGGCTTTCTCCACCTCCTTTGGGGGTGTTTCCCACTTTGATCTCGGGGTTTCCAGTCCATATTCTGCACAGATGTTTCTGTACACTATGCCTGCCACTTGGTTATGTCGCTCCATGTACGCTTTCCCTGCCAGTATCTTGCTCCCTGCTGTGATGTGCTGGACTGTCTCAGGGGCCTCCTTGCACAACCTACACCTTGGGTCTTGTCTGGTGTGGTAGATCTGGGCCTCTATTGCTCTGGTGTTTAGGGCCTGTTCCTGGGCGGCCAGGATGAGGGCCTCTGTGCTGTCCTTGAGTCCAGCTTTTTCCAGCCATTGGTAGGATTTACTGATATCAGCCACTTGGGTTATTTGCTGGTGGTACATCCCATGTAGGGGCTTGTCCTCCCATGATGGTATCTCTGGCACCTCAACCTCCGTTCCCTGTTGTCTGAGACATTCACTGAGCACATTGTCTGTGGAGGCTTTGTCCCTGATTTATTTATGGATCTTAGTTGTTTCGTCCTGGACAGTGGTTCTCACACTCACTAGTCCTCTGCCTCCTTCCTTGCGGCTCGTGTACAGTCTCAGGGTGCTGGATTTGGGGTGGAACCCTCCATGCATGGTTAGTAGCTTTCTAGTCTTAATATCTGTGGCTTTTATCTCCTCCTTTGGCCAGCTGATTATTCCAGCAGGGTATCTGATTACTGGCAAGCCATAGCTGTTTATCGCACGGATTTTGTTCTTGCCATTGAGCTGGCTTCTCAGGACTTGCCTTATTCGTTGGAGGTATTTAGCTGTGGCTCCTTTCCTTGTGGCCTCATCGAGGTTGCCATTTGCTTGTGGTATACCTAGGTACTTGTAACTGTCCTCTATGTCTGCTATTGTTCCTTGTGGGAGTGAGACTCCTTCTGTGTGGATGACCTTCCCCCTCTTTGTGATCAGCCGACCACATTTCTCTAGTCCGAATGACATCCCAATGACCGTGCTGTAGATCCTGGTGGTGTGGATCAGTGAGTCGATGTCTCGCTCACTCTTGGCGTACAGCTTGATGTCATCCATGTAGAGAAGGTGACTGATGTTGGCCCCATTTTTGAGTCGGTATCCGTAGCCAGTCTTGTTGATAACTTGGCTGAGGGGGTTCAGGCCTATGCAGAACAGTAGCGGGGACAGAGCATCTCCTTGGTATATGCCACATTTGATGGACACTTGTGCAAGTGGTTTGCAGTTGGCTTCAAGCGTGGTTTTCCACAGCTTCATCGAGTTTGCAATGAAGGCTCTCAGAATCCTGTTGATGTTATACATCTCTAAGCATTCAATGATCCAAGTATGCGGCATTGAGTCATAGGTTTTCTTGTAATCGATCCAAGCCATGCACAGGTTGGTGTGTCGGGTTTTGCAGTCTCGAGGAGTTGGTGTTTGGCTCCTCTGGTATTTACACCGATACCCTTCTGTGCCGTGCTCATGTGTTTATCCATGTGTTTGCTTATCTTGGCCGCTATGATGCCTGACATGCCAGGCAGGTTATTGGTCGGTAGTTGGGTGGGACTGGACCCTTTGATGGATCCTTCTGGATTAGGATTGTCCGCCCTTCAGTTAACCATTCAGGGTGAGTCCCACTTTGTAGCAGCTGGTTCGTTTGGGCTGCCAGTCGCTCATGGAGAGCAGTGAGTTTCTTTAGCCAGTAGGCATGGATCATGTCAGGCCCTGGTGCTGTCCAGTTTTTCAAGACTCTTTCTTGAACATCTGTCACAGTGATGGTTACCAGGGCTTGCTCAGGGAGGTTGCTGTGGTCCTCTCGTAGAGAGATCAACCACTGTGCATTGCTGTTGTGGGACGCCTCCCTTTCCCATATGCCTTTCCAGTATTGTTCAGCCTTGGTGGGTCTGCTCTGTTGTTATTACCCTGCCATTGAGAGTACACCTTAGCTGGTTGAGTGGAGAAGAGCCGGTTAATCCTTCTGGATTCATTCTCCCTTGTGTATCTCTTTAGGCGGCTGGCCAAGGCTTGGAGCCTCTGTTTGGCAGTTTCAAGTGCTTCAGGTATGGGCATCTGCCTGTACTTTCTGGGTACTGGTCTTTTCATTGCACCCTTGTGGAGCTCTGACAGTTGGCTCACTTCCCTCCTTGTTACCTTGATTTTAGCCTCTAACCGTCTTTTCCATGGTGGGTATTGGGTCTCATGGTTGCTCTTATAGCCAAGTATCTCAAGGATCACTGATGCTGAGTTGTAGATCAGCTCATTGGTTTCTGTTATGGTGTTGGTAGGGATCGTTCTCAATGCTGCATTCACATTCTCAATGAGACTTTCTGATGGTACTTCACTCAGCCGTTGTAATTGGCGCCGGGGAGGCCTGGTTGTCATTCGGGTCATGATTCTCTCTCTCAGGTCAGCAGCTGTCTCGTTCAGCTCTGTTTCGCTCATTGGGGCCGTGTATCCCCCTTGTAGTTAAGTCCTCACAGTCCTGACATCCGGGTTCCTCCCTTTTGCCGTAGCATTTGTGTTGTATCTCGTCAATCTCAAGTTGTGATAGCAGTTGCCGTTTGCGGATGTTGGAACACTGAGCTACTAGTTGTTTAGCGCTTAGTGTTGACTGGGGATGTCGAAGTAACCATTCCTTCCCCAGTCTTTGCATGTAACCCCTCTGACTAGGGTTACTTGAGTAGTAGCATTCCAACAGATCCACATTTTCATCTCTCACCCATTTCCGTCTTGTTCCAGTAGCCCATTTTTCATCAAGGTGCTCTGGTTCCCCAACACCTGACGCAGACCTTGTTTGGCCGGGCGACGTCTGAGCCGGCATGTTACGCAACTTAGTATCTCTCATGGTATGAGGTAGGCAGTAGCTTGAAGGGTCTTGCCTAAGGACCCAGACTGGATTCGAACCCTGCCCTCTCGGGTGATATACTGATGCCTTATGTATTGAGCTATCCAGGGAAGAACTGGGGAGGGCCTGGAAGGTGAGGACCACAGTGGTGCCTGTGGTCATCGGGGCCCTCGGGGCAGTAACCCCCAAACTGGAGCAGTGGCTACAACAGATCCCAGGAACAACATCAGACATCTCAGTCCAGAAATGTGCAGCAGTCCTTGGCACAGCCAAGATACTGCAGGACCCTCAAGCTCCCAGGCCTCTGGTAGAGGATATATAGATCTATATATATAGATCTATATATATAGATCTATATATATAGATCTATATATATAGATCTATATATAGATCTATATATCCTCTGGTAGAGGACCCGAGGATATATAGATCTATATATATAGATCTATATATATATATATCTATATATATAGATCTATATATAACCTCTGGTAGAGGACCCGAGGATATATAGATCTATATATAGATCTATATATATAGATCTATATTTATAGATCTATATATATAGATCTATATATATAGATCTATATATATAGATCTATATATATAGATCTATATATATATAGATCTATATATATAGATCTATATATAACCTCTGGTAGAGGACCCGAGGATATATAGATCTATATATATAGATCTATATATATAGATCTATATATATAGATCTATATATATAGATCTATATATATAGATCTATATATATAGATCTATATATATATAGATCTATATATAACCTCTGGTAGAGGACCCGAGGATATATAGATCTATATATAGATCTATATATATAGATCTATATATATAGATCTATATATATAGATCTATATATAACCTCTGGTAGAGGACCCGAGGATATATAGATCTATATATATAGATCTATATATATAGATCTATATATCCTCTGGTAGAGGACCCGAGGATATATAGATCTATATATATAGATCTATATATATAGATCTATATATATAGATCTATATATCCTCTGGTAGAGGATATATAGATCTATATATATAGATCTATATATATAGATCTATATATCCTCTGGTAGAGGACCAGAGGATATATAGATCTATATATATAGATCTATATAAACCTCTGGTAGAGGACCCGAGGATATATAGATCTATATATATAGATCTATATATATAGATATAGATCTATATATATAGATCTATATATAACCTCTGGTAGAGGACCCGAGCTCAGAGGATAAGAACAACCCGCGGTGGGTGAGAAGGGAATTTTTTTTCATAATACTGCCTGATCATATTAATGTCAGGACTACTCACAACAGTTATCAGTAATAATTCTATGGTTAATCGCTATTATGTGATCAGAAGTTTTTAGCTCACAGAGTTTTAAGGTTGATTCCCTTTTGGAGTTTTTCTCTGTGATTCTAAACTGGCCACAAGTGACTGAAATAAACCAAATCAAACTGATGGATTGTTGCAGTAACACCTGCAACAATTTTTTATTCAAATTTTCCTTTGAATAAAAAAGAAAAGAAGAGTTATAGTTTTATTATCTAACCATCTGTTCTATTAGCAAAATTGTGGAAAATAAAATATCTTTTGTGTCAAAACATATTAAACACACACAGCTGTCAGTCTGAGGGTTGAGGTGGGGAACCCAAAGCCTCAGTCTTATTGGTCAGTTTGCTTTTATTAATTTAACGGCTTTGTGTTTTTCTGCAAGCTAAAAATGAACGAGTTGGGTTTGAACCTCCCATTGCTCTACGTTCAGCCTGAGCTTCTGACAGTCTGCGCGGTTCTGGCGGGTCGCAGGTTTATTCGCTTTTTTTGTGGTTTTGCGAACTGAATAGCTGACGGGTCCCGCTGGCTGACACCAGCAGATGTGGAGAAAATAAAGGTCCAACACAAAACTATCACTGCACCTGATCTGCAAGAGCACAAGCACCTCTCCAATGCGCAAAAATCAGCACAAACCTGAACCAGGAGCAGCGGATTTTATCCAGACGATGCTAAATAATAAAGACATGGAAGCGAAGCCTCTCCAGAGGCTGTTGATTCCCAGGATCGGGTGTTGCGATGTGTGCTACAATAAGATGTTTTGACACAATTTATTTAATTTTTCTTCACAATTTTGTTAATAATAAATAGGGTTAAATAATAAAAACTCCAGAAGTTATTCTTTTCTTTCTTTACTTAAAGGAAAATGTCAAGGTATGCAGAGCGCAGCTGCAGGCGCTGCTGCGCGTATTTCTGAACATTAACAGCAGGAAAGAGTTTTATACGAAAAGCAATTTATTTTAAACATTTTTATCATTTCCCTCTTTTGAACTCTAAATATAAACTAACATCATTACTTCAATGTAAAAACATTTAATTCAATTATTTTTTGGTAGTGCTCCCTAATGATGATGCTATTTTTAGAAGTGGCTCCACGGGCGCCGGGTCCCTGCGGGCGCCGGGTCCCTGCGGGCGCCGGGTCCCTGCGGGCGCCGGGTCCCTGCGGGCGCCGGGTCCCTGCGGGCGCCGGGTCCCTGCGGGCGCCGGGTCCCTGCGGGCGCCGGGTCCCTGCGGGCGCCGGGTCCCTGCGGGCGCCGGGTCCCTGCGGGCGCCGGGTCCCTGCGGGCGCCGGGTCCCTGCGGGCGCCGGGTCCCTGCGGGCGCCGGGTCCCTGCGGGCGCCGGGTCCCTGCGGGCGCCGGGTCCCTGCGGGCGCCGGGTTGGTGACCCCTGCTGTAGAGTGTCTGACTTGGATCAGGCAACAAATACAAAGCAGAACCTTCTGACTGGTTCTGCTCTGCAGTCAGAACCAGGTACACCTTCAGGTGTGTTGCCCTGGTTACCCGTCAGGCTCAGCTCATCTGTGGCTCCTCCCCCTCTCAGGTAAGCCAGTGCCAGGCTCTCTCTCTCCAGTGGGCGTGGCCACAGACTACTTCTCCTCCCACCTGCTCCTCAGGTGAAGAATCAGACTTCTTCGAAGGCCCCCTGCTGAGATTCCTATTTGAACATCTGGGACGCATGTTGCAGCAGGTGGGCTCACCTGAGGTCTCTGCGCCGATCCTCATCAGAGCCCCGACTCACCTGTGCAGGTGTTGTGTGTTGGCAGCCGTACGAGTTGAACCTGCAACTGACGGCCGTCCTGTCCCGTCTGTGCGCCTTCAGCCACCCACTGCTGGACGAGTACCTGCTGGACCCGTTCGTCCACCTGTCCGCCGGTAGCCGCTCGCTGTTCGCCGTCCTGGTCAGGGTGAGTCCACCGGAGATCCGGAGGAACCGGAGCCGCCCTGACCGGCCGCTCTGACTCACCTGTGTCTGTCTCAGGTGGTGGGAGAGCTGATGGAGCGAATCCAGCAGGTAGCCGACCTGCCACAGCGCCTGCTGGACACCAGGAGACACCTGCTTGGACTACAATTGGACAGCAGGTAACTGTCTGCCACCTGACCCTAGCTGGACGGTCACCTGATGGTGACGTAGGAACCACCACAGACGAACAACTGAAAGTATTGCATGACTTATCATGAACGGCAAATCAAAGCAAAAGCACTAAGAGCAAATCGGTCTATAACCAGAAAATGGTTATAGACACGCTAACAAGTGGAGAGCTAGCAGTGTGCAGCATGCTAATAACAACTGACGAAAAAATATCAGTATCACCACACGATGAAACTTCCTTAACCCAACAATCGAAGAATCACCGACGATTAGTCCAACAAAGGAAACATGGGCGCCAGATGCAACCGCTAGCTGTACCAACAATAGCCCAATCATAGCCTCAGTACCTTATAGCATCATGAAATATTAATGTCCAGCAGCTACCTGGGCCCTTACAGCAATTCTAGTTCCCATGAAGCTGCGGGAGCCATGTTGCTCTGAGGCTACTGATTGGATCGCTCTTTGCCAGCCAGACTGGACCAGATTATTTCAGCAACATGCCCGTTCAAAGTGTTTTACGCCATAAAAAGAGCGACAACACGTACTGCCAATGATCCAAATCAGGTAAATGTACATGAAACGTGTTGATCCAGTTACAGGAACTCAGTGTTTCAGCAGGTTTTCACTTTTCTGGAAGTTTGTTCCAGATTAGGGGAGCATAGATGCCGATTGCTGCTGAGGTCCAACAGAACCAATGTTTTTTAAACATTAGGTTCAACTGGTACCAGCTGATCAGCTGGCTGATGATGTCACTCACCTGTCTGGTTTTGTGGGCGTGTCCTCAGACCGGAGCACCTGGCTCTGCTCCAGGGCGTCATCGTCCTGGAGGAGTTCTGCAAGGAGCTGGCGGCCATCGTCTTCGTCAAGATGTCTCTGGAGCAGAACCAGGACCGCTTTTGTTCAGGGCCCGGGTCAGCCGGACCGGAACCGGCTGAATGATCCTGATTGGACGCTCATCGGCACCTGCTCAGAAGTCCTGCCCACTCCTCCTGCAGCCAGCCAGTCAGAGCAGAGGAATTGGATGTTTTTCTCATTTCTTCCATCAGAGCCAGCTGAACCGATCACTATTGATCAGAACTGATCAGGACCTGTTTTAACATGATGAGTTTCACTTATTTTAGCTTCACAAAGTTCTGCTTTTAGCCAAAAATCAAACGGGAGACGAAGGATGGCTGGCGCGCTGCTCAGTCGGTTGCCAGTGTGACGGTGTGTTTCTTCATATCGGGGCAGAACGGATCAGAACTGTTGTGTTCAGGTTCTGGTGCTGTTCTCGTTGTGGTCAGTGGAGGCCGCTGTTGCTCATCCAGATGTTTCCTGTCATGTGACGCTATGGGAGCCTGGAGGGCCAATAAAAGAGTTTTCCTGAGTCTCTGTATTACTGTCCTCTGCCTGGGGGGTTCTGGCTCGGTCCGGTTCTGGCTCGGTCCGGTTCTGGATGGGGAGGCTTCTCGGTGTGAGAAGTAGAACTGAACGGCTGATCTTTAATTGGCTCAGAGCTCAGACACGTCGGACCGGTTCCGGCTCTGCAGTAGAACCTGGTGAGTAAAGGTCCAGAACAGCAGAACCTCCTGAAGCTGGTTCCAGAACCAGAACCTGTGGCTCCAGCTGGACCTGCAGAGGGAAACATGTCACTATGTTAGAAACATCAGGAGCGTCGACTGTAGAGAACGTGATGTCATTGTGATGTCATCTGTGACAGATGTCAGAAAGGTTCTCACACAGACTTGGAGGCTTTGGCTCCCAGAACCTTGGAAAACTTTGACTGGGCCACATCTTGAGTTCTTTGGATAATCATTCATGTAAAATATCGATGTGTAATTTTTGTCCTTATTTAGTATTAAAATATTCTCATAAAGCTCCAGAAAACATTTTAATTTCCAGTTTTGCTACGGAACCGCCCGCAAGCATGGGCGTAAACCCTGTGGGGCCAGAGGGGCCCTGGACCCCCTGGGGTTGGAAAAGCCCAGAACAAAATCATAAAACAAAGCTTTGTATTTCAACCATCGTTTTTTTTTTCCATTTCCACATTTTTATTGAAAACTCTTTTCCATACCAGTGTACATGCAGACTTTACAGGGTTTTTATTTATTTTTTTTAAACATCATCCAAGAGAAGCTGCACATACATCCTGTACACAACAAGTTGGCTGATATCAATATCACCCAATCTACCTATACACCTGCTGATGAAAATCAACAAGATGACAAAGAACAAAAAAATCTAAATTAGCTTTCCTTCTCCGTTCTTCTCTTCCAGGTCGTCACAATTTTAAATCTCACCAGAAGTGAACAGTAAGCAAACAGTAACTGCCTGAAGCTCCAAACCCACAAAAACAGTCTGATCTCCAAGCTCGAATAAAATCCCACCAATTTTTTCAATAATTCTTACATTTTCCAGATTCTAATCTGATGGAAAACTCAGCCTTTCCATGATATAAATATTATTTATGACGTCGACCTGATCTTCCCTTTTTGGAGCGTCAAACATTTCCTACTATTGGCTTTTTTTTTGTTGATCCTGTACATATTTATCAGCTGCTGTTGTTAACCTCCATCGCTGTTCCCATGTACAGAACCTCAGTTAGTGGAACATCCACCCCAGAACCGGGTCCATACGGTTCTTTAGATCCTGCCAACAGGCCGCATGGCAGTGAGCCGCTCCACTGACCCACTTTGCCTCCATCATCTCCAGGAAAGGGAACAAGATGTTCTCCACTGTTCCCACATCTCTCCTCCAGTTCTCCTGCCCACAGTTTGCATCTCAATTTTATCCATGTTGTTTTGCTTTTCTTCAAATTTTCCAATCCTGTGTATAATTTAGAAATTATTTTCTTCCCCAACTTTGAGTCATTTGCTGAAATAAACATCTTATTTATACCATATTCCAACTCAGTTAAATGTATCTATTTTAACAGTTTCTCAGTATAATGCCTCATTTCAAATTACCTGAACAAATTCTACTTTAAATCATATTTATTCTTTATTTCTCCAAAGCTTTCTGTCGTATTTTTCCACCTCCCAGAATATCTTTGGACCCTTTTTCCCATTTACTGAATGTTTTGTCTGTTTAAAATCTGAGTCATCATTAGTTCCATATTTTACAATAATTTGGTTCCATATGTCAAGAGATAATCCGAGGCATGGAGTTGACTCCTCCTTAAGGTATTTGCTCAATTTGTTGTTGCAGCAACTTCCCAGCACTTGATTCAATCAGCCGCTGATTTTATTTCTTTGATGAAGAACCTCAAGTTATTTCATTCACCACAGTCACCGTGAAAACTAAACAAATACAAATATTGAAATACAAAACCCAAATGTACCTCGCTGCTTTCACTGGGGAACAACATTTCCTTGATCCAAACATTTGACACTTCATTTGGTTCATTGAATTTTCCCGTTTTTATAGGACCTGCCTTCTTTAGCTACGGAAGCCTGGAGGTACGTACAAAACAAAATCCAAACATCAGGAAGTATAAATGCCATTAAACAAAATAAACCACCAACAATGTGAATCAAAACAGACAAACATACATAAACAACCTGCAACAGTCTTTTTTTTTTTTGTATTTTATTTTTTAATGAGATTTTTATACATGACAAAACATTACACCAACACTGAAAGAAGGCAAATAACAAAAACAAAAAAATAAATAAATAAAATAAAAATTAAAAATGGACAATGAACAGCAATCAGAACAGAGGTCACCAAGGGAGGGGGACAGCAGTACATTGCATAGAAAGAAACTGAACAGCTTTTGATGGACGGGTCACAGTAAGAGAAAAGTTACATGAAGAGACAAACAGGTGAGAATTTTTATCCAGAATCACCAAGTCCTGCCAAAACACACAGCACCTCAAACATAAATGGATGATATTCAAGTTACTTTAGAGTTCTTATATATTAACCATTTTAACCAATATTTTTGAATTTTGTTTTCCTGGAGTCTTGTAGAGAAGGTCAGCATTTCCATTTCGCATATTTCTTCAACCGTGGCTGACCAGTCACACAAACCCTAACCCTCCCACTGAGCCATCTTCTCGTTATTGATTTCTTTCCGGCTATCAGTAATATTTTCAGAAGGTACTTATCCTGAGTGTTGAGTTCGTTTGGTAGATTACTTAAATATATACTTTTGAAACTGTGCTCAATTTCAAAACCAAGAATTACTCTTATTTCTTTGGTTAACTTCAGCCAATAGGAATGAATCCCTGGGCAGCCCCAGAAAACATGAAAGTGGTCATTGTCACATTGTCTCCAACAACGCCCAGATTCAGCTCTGCCGGTCAGAGAAAATGTTCTTTTAGGGGTTATAAAAAAATCTAACAATATTCTTCCAAGAAAGGCTAGTGGTGGTAGTTTGTTTGGCATTTGTTGAGCCACTCATCCTCTGTCAGCGTTATTTTTGCCTCCTTTTCCCATGCATTTTTAACATATAATGTAGATGTTGTTTTATTATTTTCTAAGCACACATATAGTCTGGACAGCCTCTTCTTGCAAGATTTACCTTTATAAGCATTGATAAAGATGTTAATGAGGTCCTGATCATCTTTTTCCGATATTTCAATGTTCTTATTGAAGTGGTGCCTGAGCTGCAAGTATCTGAAAAAGTCTCGTTTGTCAAGGTCGAATTTTTCCTGCACTTGTTGGAAACTTTCCAGAACAGTTCCAGAAGAAATCACGCGGTATGATGCTAGGCCTTTGCTGGTTAGTTGACTGAATTTTGAGTCAAGTTTTGCTGGTACAAAGTCCCTATCATGCTCAACCCATCTTAATAACCTAGTTTTCCTCTCTAAAAGTGGATTTCGAAACTCTCTAAACCAGATATTGAGAAGGACTTTTGTAGAAACACATAATTCATCTGCATATTTAGTCATGAGGTGTTTATCCCCCAGCAGAGCTTGCAGAGGGATGTCAATCTGACTTAATTCTAGTTCTTTCCATTTTGCCTCATATCCCTCTTCACACCAGTAAATCCCAAATTGCAGTTGTGCTGCTCCGTAATAATTTTCCAAACATGGGAGTGACATTCCTCCTTTATCTCTTGGTAACTGTAATGTTTTATAACGTATCCTTGGTTTCTTGTTCTGCCATATAAACCTGGAGATGATCCGGTTCCACTCGTTAAACTGCCTGTTAGGAATTTCTATTGGCAAAGATTGAAAAAGAAACAGCAATTGAGGGAAGATGATCATTTTTATGGTTTCTATTCGGTTGTTCAAATGGAGCATCAGGGGGCCCATTTGTCCAGGTTATTTTTAACTTTATTAGTCATAGCAACATAATTTGCTTTGTATATTTTGTTTACATTTTTAGTAATATTAATACCTAAATATTTCATGGTTCTTGTTTTCCAATTAAATTTGAACTGATTACATGTATCCTCTCGGGGTGAGTAGTTAAAGCACAAGGTCTGAGTTTTTCCAATATTTAATTTATAACCTGAGTGGAGTCCAAATTGGTGGAGGCAGGACATGAGGTTAGGCAGACTGGCATCCGGGTCAGATAAGGTCACCAGGACATCATCGGCATAGAGACATGTTTTGTATTCTCTGCCCTTAAATATAATTCCTTTAATTTCTGGGTCTTCCCTAATTTTTTGAGCAAGTGGTTCTATAAAAAGTGCAAAGAGAATTGGGCTCAGAGGACATCCTGGCCTGCATCCTGGTTCCAATGGGATTGTGCCTGAAAGGCCACCATTTATTTTGATCCGGGCTACTGGCGAGCTATATAGTGATTTTAGACAACTTATGATTGTGTTATTAAAGCCAAACCAATGTACAACTAAATATAAATATTCCCATCGTACAGAATCAAAGGCTTTTTCAGCATCAAATTGCTAAAGACTTTTGATTATTTCTGCGCATCATGTCGAACAGGTGTAACGCTCGCCTCACATTATCCTGTGTACATCTATTTTTAATAAATCCTGTCTGGTCTGTATCAATCAGTTCGGAGATAATATTTTCTAGTCTACTGATGATTATTGAAGTGAATATTTTATAATCAATGTCCAAGACTGAAATGGGCCTGTATGAGCTACACTCACTTTTATCCTTTCCTGGTTTCGGTATCACAGATATTATCGTTTGTTTCCAGGATGGTGGAATCTCACCTCCTTTAAGCTCATGATTAAAACAGTTCAACAGCAAAGGTGTTACAGGTCTCCTAAAAATGTTATATCATTCAGCTGGTAACCCGTCTCCTCCTGGTGACTTACTTGATTTCAATTTTGAAATCAAGTATATCTGGTGTTATATCTGCAGATATCCACTTATTTTGCTCCTTGCCAATTGAGGGAAGATCCAAAGAGTCTAGAAACTGTTTTACTGAGGAAATCTCAGTTAATTCAGGTTGACTATATAAGTTC